ATGACTGCACCTTATATCCTCCTTTCACCATACTCGAACGCCAAATCACCCGGCCAAAGGTGAGTTGGACCAAGCGACACGCCACTCATTGGGTCCAATGAGGGCTTACCACGTGGTAATAATTAACCGAACAGAAATTCCCATTAACACCATACATTAAAATACCCTGACAAGTCATGCATCATTCAAATATCCGAACAATAATATCTCATCATGATAAACAAAAATAAATTTTTAACCCACTTGGCAATAATTTCAAACAAGTATATACAGTATTTATTTTTAATAATTCATAATTTTTCCAAACAATAAAACAACACATAACCATTCACAAACACACCCATCACAACACATTAATAATGGTTACCTTGTGTCTTGAATAACAAGTTCCCCTTCACAACTCCTCTTTCACCACTATCTTTGTCAACACAATCTACATAGTTATTTCATAATACTATGTATTAATTTTACATTAAAATACATAACTCTAATTTAAAGAGTTAGAAAGTCTTAGATCTATAATCCATATTAACACTAATTTAAGATTTATGCCTCATTTAACTTTCCAAATTCTTTTTTTTTAAATTCTCGTACCCTAATAAACTATTTTTTTATCCTCAAATCACTTCTAGTATCACAATTTCATCCTTCTATATTCTAAAAATTCATCCAAAAATAAATTAAAAATTTTAAAATTATCCTGAAGCCTCAAATCACCTTTCTATAACCTCAAAAATACCTATTCATACTTAAATAAATATTTAATAATCAGAAGTTCATCCCTACATCTCAGATTCCACATAAATTCAACCATATAAATCTAGATTTTAACTCAAAAATTCTTAAACATGAGTTTCAACCTCAAGAAAGTATTCTATAATATTTATTATATCCCTAAGAGTTTTAACCTATATTTTTAATCCATCATATCATCAGATTAACTATCCTATAGAAAAAAAATCCTAATCAGAATATTTACTCTATCTTATAAAATAATCATATCACTAGAAAGCTAATATTATTTAGAAAATAACTATAAAATTAATTTTGTAATTAAATAAATTTTTAAATGCTAATCTAAATAGGAAAGTTAGAACATACCTGAAGAAAAAGAAAATAATCCCCCCTCGCGAGAAAAACGTCGAGCAACGTGAGAGGAAGAGAGAAAAATAATATAAAAATGGGATTGTGGTCCCAAAATTATATTAAAAAAAACTATAGGTTTGAATTTAATTATTCAAACCTTTGGGCCAAAAGTTGCAATTTCCTCTAAATTGCATCTTAGCCTCTCATGCTTCCTAATGCACACATCCCCTCCTTTTTATACATGAAGGCACCTCTTCTCTTCCCTCATCTAACCAATGTGAGACTTAGAAACAACAACCTTCCACCCTTTTTTTTGTTCCTTCTACCTTCTCTTTTTTTTAACACACAATAAAAAATTATTTATGTATTATATCTTAACTAAATATTGCTTATGTGATTTTAAATTTAAATTTTTAAATTTATAATTAAATACCTAACCATAATATCATTTCTAAATAACCTCAAATAATATAAATTCCTATTATTATCATTTTTTTCCTCAAAACTTAAATTTCACAATTTCTTTATTATATAAAAATCAGGATGTTACACCGTACATTAGTGAGATTTGACTATTGTGAAATTTGAGTCTCTCTCTCTCTCTCTCTATTTTTTAATACATGGCCACAGTAAAAAATCATACAAGGAGACTAAAATCAAGTCATATTGGAAGCCCTAAGGCTTCTATAGTCAATAGGTGGTATGTCAAAAAAAGTAATATCAAAATGATCCCTCAAAGCCTTGTCGATTAGAAAATCAATCCATGAGCTGTACGGATATATGTGTGATAGAGATCTAAGCAAGCTAAATTCATTAAAGTATTAGCATTGTAGAATTATTGGGAAGGAATTGTTAGGATGAGATTTGAAGAGAAGGGTTAGTATTAAATTTTAAAAAATAGTAATAATAAATAAAATCATACCTGCAAGATGTTTAATAAAATTCTCATCAGGAGAGTTTTGCTTGATTGTGTTATTTTAAAATTTTATTAATAATGGTGAGAAGTATGACTGACTTGGGGGTGTTGTTGAATCAGATTTAATTTTAAAATTTTGCAAATAAAATTAATTATGAAGTTGCTAAGAGTTTTACTAAGCTTATTAAGAGTCTATTGAAGACCTTACTATATTTTAAATAGGGGATTTGAAGAAAGAGAATCTTTGTTAAAATGGTAAGAAAGATTTGATACATGTAGCACAGAGCCATTTTTCTTTTTTCTTTTTTTCACTTTTTGATTCTTTAGTGGCCTGACCTTGCCCCAAACTCAGTCATAAGGTTGAAATTGTAACCCATAACACCTATTAGCTTTCTATAACCACGCATCACATTAATTTACTAAATTAACTTCATTTACTCAATTAATTAAGAATTAAATTCTCCAAGATATTAAACCAATAAGTGGTGACAGATTCAATTTTGTGCTTGAAACTTAAAAATCCATGTTATTGCACAAGTTTTGAAATCTAAAATGGGACTAACCCTACTTACACTTAAAGGAGGAAGTTGTTAGGTTGTTTAGGTATTCCTCGTTTTTAATGTGGTTGCTTCCCATTTTTAATAAATGATATTAAAGCTAAGTTTTATATAAAATGTAAGAAAGCCTCGGTGTTTTTATTAATATGGGAAGCCTCACATCAAATAAAGTTAAACTTAATAACTAATATTTGATAAAGGAGAATGATTGATAATTTGAACTTTAAGATTTTGAGTTAAGATGTATATTTCTTTTTACTACTATTATCTATTTGTTCTTTCCCCCATTTTTAGGTGATCATTTCTTATTCTTAACAAAATGCGAGAAATAAAAAAATTTATTCCTTGTAATTGTCTTTTTAGGAAAAAAAAATATGTTACATTACATGTCTTTTTAATATTTTAATGCAACATTACATAATATTTTTTTTTTATTAATTATCATAGAGGCATGTTTAATAAAATATATCTATATATTAGCCTTCTTAATTTATACCATATGTAATATTTTTAAAAGAAAATATAATAAAATGTGGCATAACCAATTACATTTATGTTTATTTTTAATTTTTTTTATAAACACAATTGATGCATCCCTAAATACTTACTCTTTTTCTATTGAGAAAGGTGACCTTTACCCCATGTTTATTTTTTATAAGAGATTTTCTCTCTTTTTTTATACAAAAGATGAAGCTAAGGCTAATTAGCCACCACCTTGATTCCTAGTAAAATATTCAACTACCATAGCAGTAATAATTTCTTCTAGAGCATGCATCAAAAATGTAATTTCTGGCATTATAGACAATCTTAGTTTTCACAAGGTAGTTAACACCTTGGTTGTTGCGACAAGGCATTCTTTCAACATGAACAATCTAATCCCATTGTAGCAAAGATAAAATCACCATTACAGGAACATACTCACCACGCTCACAATTACAACTATTTAAAACCAGATCAACAACCTTAATTGAATCAGTCACACGCTCCACTCTGCGATATCCTGCCTCCCAAGCCATTCTTAGACCGTGAATACAATCCCATAACTCAGTGATAGCTAATTGCTGGTCTCCATTCTAGAGGTCAAGTCGCAAATAAACTGTCCCTTAATGTTTCAAAGAAGACCCCCATAAGTAGCATGGGACTTGTGGTGAGAGTATTCACCATCCACATTACAACATATCCAATCAGCTTTAAGGGGATGTTGTGTATCCTCAGCAATGTATCTCTCGGTGTGACACTGTTATGTAGAAAGCTTCTTCTGTGCACTCTATAGACTACTAATCCCTGCTATAGTACTTGCAATGAAGGCTTCATTGTTGGTCTTTCTATTCTTGAAAATGAAGAGATTTCTACATTTCCAAACTTGCCAACAAATGATAGCAAAGAAATCCCCAATCTTTATGAAGTATCTCGTGTCTTGAAGCTAGACTCTGTGTAACCCATTCACAAAGGTCTAGTCGAAAGAATATATTCCACACTCTAAGGACGATGATAGATTTCCATAATTGGCATGTGAGTTTACAATCCCGGAGGTCATGTATGAGGTCTTCACCATCTACTTGACAATAAGAACAAATATTGTCCGCAAAAATACCTTATTTAGGCGAGCCGTATTAGGGAGTAGATTGTTACACATAGTAAGCCAAAGGAAAGAGCAACATCTACGTGTCACCTTGAGTTTCAGATCCTTAACCATGTTGGGTTTACCACATTGTCATCTTGTTGGAGATTCATGTAAGTGGACTTAACAGAGAACATCCCATTTTGTTCCCATTTCTAGCAAATCATGTTGCTTCTTTGAACAATCTCCAAGCCTTCTCTAACCTTCTCCCATGGCTTCTTAATCCCTGACCAAAGATTGGATCTTGGTCTTTTACCATCAATTTTGGAATTAAGTCTTCTCCTCATTTGTACTTGTTAAGCAAAACTTTAACCCAAAAATCATTCCTTCGCTTCACAAAGTTCCGACCAAGCTTTATGAGAAGGGCTTTATTTTGTCATTGTGCTTGTTGAAGCTTGAGTCCACCCTTGCTCTTCGGTTTACAACACTATCCCGTGTGACTTTCTTCGTTCATCAGTACTACCCCAACAAAAATCACGATTGCACTTATCAAGCGCCTCGCAAGTGCTCATAGGGAGAGAAGTCGTTCGCATCAAATGATCAGGCATAGCACTCAAAACAGAGGAGGTAAGAGTACTTCTACCGGCTAAGGAGATAGAATTCGATAATAGTTTGACTGGGTTGGTAATTTAACCGATGCACGAATGGCTGAATATTTTGCTGGACTCTTTTTTTTCCCCTTTGAATTACAAGCAGAGGTAAAAGGCTCCAGGTTTAAAAAAAAAAAAAGAATAAAAGGAATTAACTCACATCCCTCGATTATCTTTCATCTAAAAGAGATTACCCTCCCTCCCTCTTGAGTGTGCTAATGATTGGCATCCAGACGAAGGAAGAGCGAGGAAACAAGCAAAGTTTCCAATGAAATCCGAATCAGGATGAAGATTGAATACTGTCTTCTTAAACGTCGTCGTTCGCCCCCATCCCATTCCACAAAGTAGGAATTTGTAATTCTATTTCATATATCAATTTCATTCCCATGCCTCCACTTCTCGGGCGACAGAGAGCACCAACGACGCCTACCAAGAAACCAGCTTCCGAGATCCGATCAGAACCTCCATTCATTCTCCTCTCTCTGCCCCTCTCCTGCCTTTCATGCATTCGCAAAATTCGACCACTTTCTTCTGTGACTTGAGTCTTGATATCGGCCTGCTCTTCTCTTGACGTTAGGGTTTCCCTCGAATCGGCCCCAGCCCCTGAATTTCTATTACAAATGCGTGGGATCGTGACCTACGGTTCGTAAGTTCGCAGCTTCACACTTAAAAGTGCATGAGGATTTGGTGCTGTCTGTGCTTCTGCGAAGAAGACGAGGAGGCAAGAGAAAAAGATAATCGTTCCAACTCGATGAGGGAGATGAACTTTTTCGAGAAGGACCGCTTGCCTGATGACAGTATCGAGAATGACGATGACCCTTTGGTTGGCACTGATACGACCTTAAGTCTGACTGTAAATAGGCGTGAACGCGAAGACCATTTCAGGTGGTCTGACGTGATGGCTAGGGCTGTGAGAATGGGGGGCCTTCACTCTTGGTTCAATTCGCAGCCTCGAACATCGTGGTGGTCCGACGGTGAGAGTAGTTCGTCTTCGGCTGTTGTAATGGCTGGCTCGGGTAGTGCCGCCGATGGGGGTCTGGATTCTCAGCATAAGCGCGCTAAAGTTCTCTCAGATTTCGAGTGAGTTCTAGGCGCTCAGTCAACTGCACATTGTTTTTCCTTTCTGAAAATTCGTATGACTGTCAGCAACATTACACTCACCTGTCATTTCTACTCCGAATTGACCATCCTTAAAATCATAGTTGTTGGGTTTGTTTCTTTAAATTTATATACCATTTAGCGTGTAAACACCAGTTTTAAGCATGAAATTGTTCCTGTAATACGATATTGACTGAATGTAGTGCTTTTACCGTATTTGAACATGGCTGTGTTGAATTATATGTGGTATGTGCTACATGGCCTAAAGTGGCTCAGGCCCATAGAATGCCTATTGTCATGAATTAAGAATGTACTTGCTTCCAGGCACTAGGAAATTTCCAATTATTTTGTTGCTCTCCGATCAATTTCTTGTGTATAGAAGATTTAGTTGTGCCTGTACAAATAACTGAAAGTTGGGTCCGTCTTTCACCACCTTGATTGGGGGTACTTGGCTTTGACGCATTGTGCGATTTCTAATGCACGATACAGAGAAACTACGTCCTTCGCGTCACCTTCAACAGATTTCCACTCTTTAAGAAAGGTGCTGCGCCAGAAAACCATGTACTATTGGTATCTGGGTGTTTGCGAGTAATTGTATGTGAAAGTATAGTTAGTTTTGTGTGTTGGCATCAGTTGTTTGATGTGTTATGAATGATAGAAGGAGACTAAAGAAATTTCATGAAGTTAGTGTTTGACATTATTTTTTTTAAAATAAATTCTTTCTATTTTTTATTTCTTTCTTTTTACTCTAGCGAAATAGTTTCTCTTTGGGATTAAACTGAAATTTATGAATTCTATTGTTATTTTGTTCTTTGTGTTCTGTTATATGCTACTTCTCTATTTCATATGCTGCTTTGACTTCACCATCGTACAGAATATTTACTTACCAGAAAGAGGCACATAAGTGGTTGTCTTGTTTCAGTATATGCCTTTGTTTAGCTCTTCACCAGATTATTCTTTGAAAGATGTCGATTATCTGGCACTTGAAATGCTTGTTCCTATTTCTACTTGTAGCATTTGTGTATGAGCAAACCATTTGCTGATGTTTAACTAGCAGACTTTACCATGCCATTATATATTCTCTAGTTATGAGTAAATGTGTTTTCTAGTCAGCTTCATTATCCAACGCCAGCATCTTCAAAAATGGGGAAATCCAGTGCATCTATAGACCACTTAGATCAGTGTAGTACCCGATGTTCACCTGTTCAATCTCATCATGGGATGGAGTACAATACTTTCACATTGACCGGTACTGGTGAGGAGCTCAACTCTGATTCTAGCTATATGAGGAGAGTGAAGGGGGTTGTGGTGACATCTCAACAGCAGAAGACTCAGAAGTCAATATGGATTTTACTGATGATTTATTGCACATGGTATGCTCCAGGGAAAAAGTATCATTGTTGTGCACTTTGTTTATTTTTCATACATAATATGGTGGAGATGTTTCAAATAATACCAAATACTAATTTTTAATTTCCTTCCTTTTCCGCCTCCAGTAGCTTAGTTTCTTTTCTAAAAGACCTGTTCCTTGTTCACGTAACCAGGTTTTCTCTTTCTTGGATCATCATGATCTCTGCAAAGCTGCCAGGGTCTGTAGGCAGTGGAGAGCTGCTAGTGCTCATGAAGATTTCTGGAGGTGTTTGGATTTTGAAGATCGGGACATATCTATAGACCAATGTAAGTGATGATTGTTATTAATTTTCATTTACAAAATTGTTATTGCTTTGGTTAACCAAAAAAATATAAAAATGCTGCTATGGCAAAATTTTGAAGAATCTACCATGAAGTGAATATTTTAGGCATGCTTTGGGCCCCTGGCAGAGACTTGTTTTGATTGTATTGAGGCAGATGTTTATTTAAGCTCTATATGTATGTACAGTTGTGAATATGTGCGCGCGTTATCCTAATGCCACATCAACAAAGATATCTGGTCCTTCTATTCACCGGCTTGTTATGGAGGCTGTATCTTCATTAAGGTATGTAGGTTACAATGATATTTATGTAGCCAACTAAAAACCTGTAAGTCTGGCTGATTTGTCATCATCATTGTCAGAAATCTCGAGGCCATAACACTGGGAAGAGGACAAATAACTGATAGTTTTTTCCATACTTTAACCAATTGCTCTATGTTGAGAAGATTGAACATCAATGATGCTACGCTTGGCAATGGTATTCAGGAGTTAGCCGTTAATCATGATAGATTAAGTCATCTTCTACTAACAAAATGTCGTGTATGCGCATATCAATCAGGTAAAGAAGTTTTACAGCAATTTTCATGTCATATTGTTGGTAATCAAACTGCAGTGTCATACAGGCTTTTTTTTTTTTAAACTTCTTTATCAAACATTTTTCTGAATTTTCTTCCATCATAGCTTTTTTCATTACACGTACTGAGCAATAACTTTGGGGAAGCCATGGCATTTCAACGCAAGGCTTGTGCACGTAAATGCTTGTAAAATGGCTATATTGTATGCGTTATTTAGTTTTATAACTTCATGTATTAGTTTGATTGAAATCCTTGTGTAGAAAATGGTAATATAAAATACTCCTTCCAGGCTACCTCTATGCCATGCACGAACAATGTTTCATTGATTAAAATTAATGTCATTTTATGATAGTCTTAAGTAATACTATACTTATTCAGGTGCCCGCAGCTTGAAACATTGTCATTGAAGCGCAGTAACATGGCACAGGCTGGGCTTAATTGCCCCCTTCTGCGTGAGCTTGACATGGGCTCTTGCCACAAACTTCCTGATGCTGCAATTCGTGCGGCTGCCATTTCATGCTCTCATTTAGTTTCCCTAGACTTGTCAAATTGTTCATGTGTTAGTGATGAAACACTACGGGAAATAGCCATCAATTGTGCCAACCTTAGTTATCTTGATGCATCATACTGCCCGAATCTCTCTCTGGAGGTATGCTTTAGAGGTTGTAATTCTCTTTTGCAAAGTATAGATTGTATTAGCTTTTATTGATGAGCTCTTTTGTTTCTCATTGAAGTCTGTTAGACTGCCAATGTTGACAGTTCTCAAGCTTCACAGCTGTGAGGGAATTACTTCAGCCTCAATGGCTGCCATATCTTATTGTTATTTGTTGCAGGTATAGAACTTGTCTTTGATACTGACATATCTGATTTACTATATATGCATGCTCAAAGGGAGTAAACTGTTCTTGCCTTGCAGGTTTTGGAACTTGATAATTGTAGTCTGTTGACCTCTGTATTCTTGGAACTTCCTCGTTTGCAGAGTATTAGATTGGTTCATTGTCGCAAGTAGGCTTCTGCTTTATTTCTTTTTCATCCCTCGAAAAGTATTATGGTTCTCGTCTTCATTTTTACCATTGCCGGCTGACTAGATACTCATTCACTTGGTAGATTTGCTGATTTAAACTTGAGGACTATAATGCTGTCTTCTATCGTGGTTTCTAATTGTCCTGCACTCCATCGGATCAATATCACTTCAAATTCACTTCAAGTACATCTTTTAATCTGTTATAGTATTTCCATTTTATGTGAATTATACATCAGCAGTCTAAAAGGTTGACTGTTTGAGTGCAGAAATTAGCGTTAAAAAAACAGGATAGCTTATCCTCATTGGCTCTGCAATGCCAATCTTTGCAAGAGGTTGACCTCTCCGACTGTGAATCCTTGACAAACGCTATATGTGATGTTTTTGGTGATGGTGGAGGATGTCCTATGTTGAAGTCATTAATTCTTGATAATTGTGAGGTATTTGCTTAAGTCTGTAATCTCTGCCTGAAAAACATTTTCTAAAATCTTCTTTTGATTGATCTAGCCTAGCAATATGTGTTTTCACCATGTTCTACATGTTCTATGTATTAGTTGGACACCGTTCTGGGATCCACTTTGAAAATCAAAGCTGATGCTTTGAGATATTTTTTATGTTTTAGAGATTATGTGGCTATGTAATCCTGATTGATCTTGTGGTTGAAATATTCCGTATTTTTGTTCTCTAGCTTAAGTTGTGTTCTAATTTCTTCAGAGCTTGACAGCTGTTCGGTTTATCAGTAGCTCTTTAGTCAGCCTTTCCCTTGTTGGTTGTCGGGCAATTACTATTCTTGAGCTCACATGCCCTAATCTTGATAGAGTTTGCTTAGATGGTTGTGATCATTTGGAAAGCGCATCATTCTGCCCTGTGAGTATTTTTTCTCAACTACATCCTTTTAATTGTGTTTTACAATTACATGATAAGAAAAATAAGTTCTTTGTACCTTTTTGTGATTACTGGTAAAACGGAGAGGATAAATGTATAAATAGGCACTGTATAGTGGCTTACATGTGAAGTTTTGTACTTACTTTATATAGGCACTGTATAGTGGCTTATATGTGAAGTTTTGTACTTACTTTATTGACTTTGTTGTTCAATCCTCAAACAGAAGTATATTTTCATCAAGGTAGGATTATCTGTTTATTTTGCCCCCAAGTCAAACTACTTTTGGCAGTGCTGGAATATTGGGCTGGGGCTTTGGAGTTCGTTAGCTTCCTATAATTAGTTCCAGCAGTTAGTCTGATTTCCTGTAGATAGAGGCTGATGGATTCTTTTTTACTCTTGCTTCTCAGGTTGCTCTTCGGTGTCTCAATTTGGGAATTTGTCCCAAGTTGAACATAATTAGCATTGAAGCACCTTTCATGGTCTCACTTGAATTGAAAGGATGTGGCGTCCTATCTGAAGCATCCATTAACTGCCCATTTTTGGCATCTTTGGATGCTTCCTTTTGCAGGTTATGAAGCATTGATTATTTTCTTATGTTTCATTATTGTGTTATATAAACTGACACTTGTTGTTTGTACATACAGCCAACTAACAGATGGCTGCTTGTCTGCAACAACTGCCTCATGCCCACTGATTGAGTCATTAATACTGATGTCATGCCCGTCAATTGGATCGTACGGACTTTGTTCTCTGCACTGTCTTCAAAACCTGACTTTTCTTGATTTATCATACACTTTTTTGACGGACTTGCAGCCTGTTTTTGAGTCTTGTTCAAAACTTAAGGCAAGTGTTACCTTTTATTTTTATACTCTTACTTGACACTACTATTATGCAGAATAGTAGATTTGAGTATTTAATTAAGTAGAACTATTGTCCAGTAGAAAAGTTCTTTCTGTTTCAAGCAATTAAGATGGTAGCCTAATATTGCTATAAACTGGAAATAAGTAGCTGAGTAGCGGTATTGTTTGTCTCAGATGATATGCTACTAGTTCTAATACTTTTTCTCCCTTGAACAATCGATCAGGGAATGTTGCCATCTGTGTTTGTGTGTGTCTTCTCTTCCTCCTTTTTGACAGTGCTATTTTCCTTTTGTTTAAGGTATTAAAATTACAGGCTTGCAAATTTCTTACTGACTCATCACTCGAGCCTCTTTACAAGAGGGATGCTTTACCAGCACTTCGGGAGTTAGACTTGTCTTATGGAACTCTCTGTCAATCTGCCATAGAGGAGCTTCTTGCTTGCTGTACCCAGCTCACTCATGTGAGCTTAAACGGCTGTGTGAATATGGGTGATTTGAATTGGGGGCTTCAATCATGGTCAGGCTACTGTGTTGCCTGCTTTTAAACATCTCAGCTAGCATAATTTCAAATGAGCATGTCGATGGGTTCAGCAGTCAACCCAACCGTTTACTGCAGAACCTCAATTGTGTGGGATGTCAAAATATCAGGAAAGTTCTCATTCCACCAATGGCACGTTGTTGGCATTTGCTTTCTTTGAACCTTTCTTTATCAGCAAATTTAAAGGAGGTGGATTTAATTTGTCTCACCTTATGCTTTCTTAATTTAAGGTATAGTTGGTGCTTTAATAATCTTTGGTTATTTTCTATCAGTATGTTAGATATGTTTATATTTTAAATTTTGTATTCTATCCAGCAATTGTTCCCTCTTTGGAAGTTTTGAAGCTCGAGTGTCCGAGGTTAACCACCCTATTTCTTCAGGTATTTGTGTCGTGCCTGCCAATGTAATATTGGGATTGGTAAATGTATATTGTTTTGATGCTTCTTGTAGTCAGGTCTTGTCATTTTATATAATTTCTTGTGTATTGAGGCGTATTTTGATTCTTTTCTGCATAACAATTGTTAGCTGTCTTATCTAAATGCGTGGCTTGAAAAAGCGACTCTTATTTCTAAGTATATGGCACAACCTATTTGCTTCGTTGTTTAAGCTTGAAGTGTCAGTCTTCTGTCGTACTCACATAAGTGGCAATGACTCCTTCAAAACTTCGGTGAAAAATCGTTCCTATATGTGGGGTTGACACTTTGGCCCTTGTCCATCATAAAACAACAGTATCTATGAATTTGGGTTGACCTTTAGGCTATTGTTATAATTAATTGGCCAAGAAGTTATATTTTAGTTTTGTAATCCGTACTTAGGTTCATTTTTGTTGTTTAAAATTGAATCATTATGCTTTTGAAATTGCTTGTCTGTAGAATTATTTGCTCGGGTTTGTTTGCTTTTGTCGCCTTGACTCATTTATTTTTTCTTTGGTGGTGGGGTATTCTCTTGGCTCTAGTCTTGCAACATTGATGAAAAAGCTGTTGAAGCTGCGATATCAAATGTAGTATGCTGGAGACCCTTGATGTCCGCTTTTGTCCAAAGGTGCGAATGATCATTTTTACCCGATTTTCACTCATGGCGTTGAGCGGGTTGTTCTTGGACCATCGGGTTTAAGTCGTCTTATTGAATTTTGTATGCTTATGGATGTCCACAGATAAGCTTGACCAGTGTGGGAAGATTAAGGGTGGTGGTGTCCTAGTTTGAAGCGAATTTTGCGCAGCTTGTCAACTTAATGATTGCGGGTGTTACCAGCGATGAACAAATTATCCTGTGGGTGATGGCACATTTGGTAATAAATCGGGTTATTTCTTTGTTGCTTTATAAATGGTCGACAATTCCGTTGTCATTGTGGTTTGGAATATAAAAATCTAGAGGCAAGCGTTGTTTTCTGTTAACATAATCTCTATTCTCGGTTGTTACATTTATTTCTGGTCTCATTTAGACCCGTTTCATTTGTAAATATTAAATTTAAATTTTGTTCTAAAAGCAATTTGTAGAGATTTGAGTGGGGGGAAGCAGCTTCAAGTGGTTGGTACAAGCGTGCACAAGAAAGAGGGACTTGAATGAAAAGAAAACTTCTAGCAATTGCTCAAATGAAAATGTACACCAACTCCTATAGCTTCTCTTGATCTTTTCTAATATTTCCTCGCACTTTCTCCCCCACGTGACTCCTTCACATTCACGCAACCTTTCTCGATCTCATGCACACACACCCGCCCCACTCTTTCGTGATGCTTTCCTCACTATGGCCGTGACGTCTGTCTCACATTGGAGAGATTTGGGAAGTTTATAAGTTGAGTGCATTGTATATCTCATTTGAGTTAATTTTTAGAGAGTAATGGTCTCATGACCAAATGGTACTAGAACTAGACTTGGGTTTTTTTTCAATGGTGGGTCTTTCTGATCAGTCATGTGTGATGGGAGCGTCATGAAAGTAAGGAAATTGTTTTGTCCTATATTGAAGAGGCTGGAAGAGGGTTCTAACCATTTAAGTGGATGTATTGCATACTTTATTAAACTAATTTTTTGAGGGAAGAGTAATAGTTTTGTGGCAGTGTTGACTTTTCTTGCCGTCTCACAGCTTTGTTGAGGTAGTATGTTGCCACATTCATTGCTCTTCAAAAAAACTGCCCATGGGCGGCTCATCATCAACCTGGAGCATTGATTTTGGACCTAGTCTAGATTTAATTTAATTTGACTTGTATTTTAAAATAATTGTTATTTTAATAGATAATGTATATCTATATATATATATATATAATAAAATACATTACAACCATCACATTTCAAAAAAATAAATGTATCATTTTAGAATTTTAAAATTTGGGCAATTAAACTTTGGATGTGGACAGTCTAGATTTCTTTCCACGGTTTTTTTTTTCCTCGACTGTAAAATTTGAACTGTTATAATTAAATTGTATTTTAAAAATTATTCAATTTAAATCATGAAATTACGTTAACTGTCAGTTTTGTTTTTTTCTAAGAGGAAAGCTAACTCCCTAGTATTGATGGCATGTATCTAAATGCCAATTTTCTTGGCTTTGTTAGGGCTTCTCCTCAACTCTCCAATCCTCCTTTCTCTTTATGCTAAAAATTGTGATATGGTGACACTACGTTCACCTCTCCAAGTGAGGCCTAGTGTAGTAAATGAAAGATTAGGACCTGGGACATTGGTTCCATCTATGACTGCAATATGGCGTGTTTCCTCTTGACTTGTGGTTATGGTTCCTTGTAACTTGCTTCTCCTCTTTTGTCTCTCATTAGGTATAGAAAACCAAGTCTCAGGATCTGCATAATGGCAAAGATGCTTTGTTGCAGTTCCTTCTTCAAGACCACTTCTGAAGGCATCCTTATTGCAAACAACAACAACAAAACAATGTATCTCAATAAGTAAATATTTGAATTTTAAAGCTATAAACAAATCACAAAGTTGACATACATTATACACAATCTTCCCAATATCTTCATCTATCCTTACTTCTATTTCACACTCAATGCTAAACCTATAAAATGCCCTCCCTCTTATTGTCCTAGTTTGTGATTGTTGTGTTTGTGGTTGATTAGAATCTATGGCATCATCAAGGCCAACATATCCGCCCCTTCCTCATCCTTGACCTGTTCCCCTTCCCCTACCCCTTCCTGTAGTGCTTGAATCTCTATTGCTTGAAGCGAGTTTCTAAAAAAAAAAAAATTAGTGCACTAAGATGAAAAATTATAGGTAATTAAAAAAATTACATCTAGACAAGTTACTCAATTGTGACCAATTTTTTTGCAATGTATGTTGTGTAAGATCTACTTACTTAAACATAATGAACTACTAAAAAAACAATGTATCTCAATAAGTAAATATTTGAATTTTAAAGCTATAAACAAATCACAAAGTTGACATACATTATACACAATCCTTACTTCTATTTCACACTCAATTCTAAACCTATAAAATGCCCTCCCTCTTATTGTCCTAGTTTGGTGATTGTTTGTTGTGGTTGATTAGAAGCTATGGCATCATCAAGGCCAACATATCCGCCCCTTCCTCATCCTTGACCTGTTCCCCTTGCCCCTAACCCTTCCTGTAGTGCTTGAATCTCTATTGCTTGAAGCGAGTTTTCTAAAAAAAAAAAAATTAGTGCACTAAGATGAAAAAATTATAGGTATTAAAAAAAACTTACATCTAGACAAGTTACTCAATGTGACCAATTTTTTTGCAATGTATGTTGTAAGATGAACTACTAAAACTAAGGTAATCAATGGCCTAACCCCAATCTGGATTACAAAGTTTGTAAAATATCACAAATGGGGATCTCAAGTTTTCATAATTTACATCACATTCATATGCATTTAGCATTTATAAATTAGAGTTTAAAACATATACGAAAGCATGAAATTCAAAATAAGTGAGGAAATTAGTTTTTTTTGCAAAATGGCACATGTCGTGGCTTACTGTAGGTGTGTCGCGATGTGTTGCCACTGTACCTTTGATGCTTTGCCACACCTTTCCTTAATCATCTTGATCCTTATTCAGTCTTAAGCCTCTTTTTTTTTTTTGGTCTTTCAAGCATACTAGCTAGTGGAGGAGGTGCCATTGGTTGATGTTCAATATTCTAAAACTTCTTTCCTCTCATTGGTTGAAGCTTAGTGCTACAACTAGCTATGTATGTGGTTTTATGGTAATACTTGGATATTTGGGTACTAAGGTCTATTTTTACATGTAAAGTGCACAAATGGCATGCTCACAAGGAATTCCAGTGAGGTCCCAAATCCTACAAGTGCATATTTAGTATTAAGGAACATAGTATGTTTGTCATATCCTTCAGTGACATCACTATTGAAAGCTACCCTACAACCTATTGCTAAAGACCTATTGATTTCAAACATTTCTAAACACTTAGGGCTAACATTCCCAATCCACTTTCCAACAATGTTATCAACCCCAGCCTATTTATCCATCATCTTCACCCTAATATCATCAAACATTCTAATAATAGGAAAATATCAAAAAGCATCTATCCAAGCATTTAGCTTTCACTAATATTATTATCAACCATCCATGAATGACATCTTGTAATAAAATAAGCTCTTACCCAATGTCACAGAGGGTAAGTAAGGATTGTCTTTGCTACCTACTTGCTCACACTAATTAATGCCTTGAGTTTGTCCTTGAAAAGTTCATTAAATGTGCTCCAAGCATAAGAGAAGAACTTCTTCTTCAATTCATTACCTCTCTATTACATACTCTAATTTGTGTAGATATGTTTAGCACACAATCTATGTTTTGCTTTTGGTAAGACTTTTTTAATAGCCACATTTAAACCTTACATTATCAAACATGATTGTCACAATGACAAATGTAAGTACTAAAAATTAGTATACCTTTTGCATACCAGACATGATTGTCACCTTTAAGGCATCCTCAAGCTTGAATGATTTTTGGATCCATTGAATAAATCAAGTCCAATTAATTGTATTTTCTTTTTGTTTGAGTCCAAAAGCAAGGGGATATAGGCAATCATCATACCAATTCCAATTGTAAGGAGTATTTCTTGAGCACGTCCTTTTAAGAAAGTGCCATCAAGCCCAATGATAGGTTTGTAGCTAACTTTTCATCCAATCTTAATGAAAAAAATCAATTCACATTCAAGAAATATCATTTCTCTAATTGATGAGAGAGAGAGAGAGAGAGAGTGTGTGTGTGTGTGTGTGTGTGCATGCATGCGCGCGCACGCGTGTATGGCATATTTAAGCATAATGACAAGGCTAAACTTTTAATGTACACGAGTAGAAGATGAAAAATTCTTTTAGCATATCTGCAACAGCAAATATGGCACATCTAAGCATAAAGAGAAGTCTATACTATAAAAATATGGTCAAATACACAATCCAATTCCAAATTTTAAAGTTGAATGCAGAAACACATACCATTATCAAGCTCAAGAAAATTTAATTTAGATTCAAAATAAATTAACTTAAATTTAGAACAAATTAACTCAGATTTAAAAAAATTAACACAGGAAACAACTTAAAGTATAAAAAAATTAACCTTTAAAGCATTGAAGCACATGTATAGCCGACTGAAAACCCTTTCTTCCTTCTCTATAGCTTCTTTGCTCACTTTAACACTTACCTCAAAACTTGGCTTGGAAGCCTTCACCTCATTACAATAAGCTTCAATATTGTTGAAACTTGTCTTTGTAGCTACCCTTATTTCCTACATGATATTCCTTTTGGCATACTTGTACTTGTGTAGGCTAACATAGAGTTTCGCTCATCCTTTACATCCTTCTTCATGTCAAAGACCTTGCATTAAGGTCTCTCTTGAACCTTGTTCTTGAAATATGAGGCTAACCACTTGGCTGTGGTTCTTGAATTTTTATAAACCCTAGTGCACCTATAATCTAAACATAATGTCTTTACCGTCATTTCTGGGTTCTTTCATCCTTTGTAACATAGATTTGAAATAAGCAGCCCTTTTAACATACGACTTGTACACCAAAAGGCTTACTCCTCCTCACCTTTAAAGAAACCCCCTCTATGATAGCATGCTATCAATGGCTACCATGATCTTTTCCTCGTTTGCAAAGGTTGAGCCTAACATGAAAAAGGGCCTTGAATCAATCCATAAGCTCTAGCAAGCCTTCTCACTTCCTTTAAAGGCCCAATATCATCATCTATACCCATTTCATAGTCTAAATCCTCATCCTTATATCCATTATCCCTATCTTCCTCTTCAAATGACACATTCTCCTCCTTATCATAAAATCCCTCATCCTCACTATCAAATTAGTCTTCTTCAGTGGAGACCCATCATTTTCACCATTGTCATGGATTACAACTCCCTTACCATTGTCTGTTACCTCAATCCTTCCTTCAACATTATCAAGGACATTCTCCTCACCATCATTAGATAATGCAATGTTATCCCAATCGATTGACACATTCTCCACATCAATGACATCTTCCTTAAGTACTTGTTGCTTCT